ATGTGAATTTAATGAGCTTAGAAACAGCAAAGAGATGGGGACAGACCTGTTTCTCTCTCTTCCTTTTATTTAAAGTCATGTTCTTTTATTTACATTTGGACTTTGTAGATATATTTTTGTATGTTTTTTTTTAGATAAATAGTTGAAACTTGAACACTGGTGGTCCCAAGGAGGTTTTTCACCTGGAAGTGGACGGAGGGGGATTTTAGAAGAGTTCAACTTAAACTATGGCTTCATGAAAACTGATGTTTAGAAACTTACAKGAGAAATGAAGCACATTGTACTAAAAAAGGAAAAACTACCATTATTTTAAAGGAGTGACAAACAGCATGGCAARCAGTGGATCACCAGAATGYCTAAAATAAACATTTTTKAACTGAAAGCGTTGTATCGTACYATTCAAGGATTCCCCAGTTGTTTAAATGAATAACCTTAAAGTTAAAACTGACCAGTGGAAGTCTAGAATATAATGTGTGAATTTATTCATGTTACTCTTGTTGTTCTACATCTTATCAATGTTTCTACAATACATGACTGGACCAGAGATTAAATATAAGAACATTTTGCAGACTGGTAAGTACCTGGAAAAATGTTGACTTGTRCTAATTACTTAAGTGCCTGCTCACATATTTCATCCCTGTATTTMTGTATTTATTTAACCATTAAAACAAAAGACTTGTKTGTCGGCACAGGAGGTGGTCCACCWTCACCAGAATCCCCTGCAGGGAGGGTGGCCTGTTTTCGAAGGGGGGCCGCCACTGACTGTGTCCCATAGAAACTGTCCCCTGTACAAATATTMRATTACTGAATATGYAACATAATCACACATTTCTGTAGTATGATGTGGACTTCTTGGTGCCATGCTGAATTATGGGCCCCAGAATAGAGGATGCCATCCTCAGAAAAATAGCAAGGCTCATGAAGATAGTTGTCAGGAAAAGCCAGACGGACCTGTCCTGAAACACTTTTTACCRTGTGAAAGTCCTCAATAAGTGTTTCATCAACAAAAGTCATTCAAAAATGGGCACACCATTGGAAAAGACGACACGTTTGGAGTTATTATGGCTTCTTATCGGTCATTTCTCAAATCCCCTCAACATGTGTGATAGTCTATTCAGGGCCTTTCTGTCAAACTTGAATCAGCAGCAGTATTCAGAAACAATCAAACAGTAACAATGCTCACATGGAGAATAACATTTATAATGATGACCTTCATAATGTTAAAATAATAACAGCACTTGACTAAATGTCAAAATTAATCAGTGGTATTCTGTTGCAGACTGATTAAAAAAAGTTAAAAAAAAAAAACATTGCTTTCTGATGGATGTGACCACTGACTGAACAGACAAGACTCCAGGTTTAACTAAGCCTGTCTGGAGCAGGCTGGCTGCACACGATAAATCACTGTAACATATGAGCTGCTGCTTTTGTGAAACCAAATCAAGGCTTAATTCAGCCTGGATATCTGGAAAATCCCAGCTTAATCCCCTACCCTGATTTTGTGAAACAGCCCTCTGGTATGAGTCTAAAACTGTGTCTGGATGTGTCTATGTGCTGGAATATCACACCATTCTACCTCCACAGATATCACCAGTGGTGGACAAAGTACTCAACTCTGGTACTCGAGTAAAAGTATTGATACTCATCAAACCTACTCAACCACAAGTAAAAATTACTCAGTCAAAAATCTACTCAAGTTAAAGTACTTACTTTTGAGAATACTTAAGTATTCAAAAGTACATGCATTTAAAAGTAAAAAAAAAAGGTAGTCAAAAGTACAAATAAAATTTTCTAATAGTACATTGCTGTATTGTTTTCACAGTGATTTTACAGAACCTTATAACTCTCAGAAGCCACCTGATGTATTGACACACACAACCACTCTGCGACACATTCACCACCTGTAAAGACTTCAGCATAAAAATACAAGAAACTGAGTGTTGAGTTCTTAAATGTAGTTTATCTGTGGTGAACACAGACGACATTTAAACTGATAAGAACTATTTTTCAGTCCTAAAATCTCAAACACTGAGCTGAGATATGTGTGCTGGTTTCTCTGCATGAGATTCTTGAACCGTCTCCATTGCTGGGTTCTGTTTGAAAAGAAGGTGGAGCTCAGCTCGTGACCATTAATGTAGATGATGTCATTCCAAATCTATCCTATSTATGAGCTATGACTGTGACTGGTTGCCCCTGTGAGGAACATAGTGTGGTCAAATCCATTTCAAGAAAGAAAAACAGCAACAGCCGATTACAAAACTATGCTGAACCAAAAGYAACAAGTACAAAGCTTCCTAGGAATGTAGTGGATTAAAAAGTACAACATTTGTCTTTGAAATGTAGTGGAGTGAAAGTCACAAGTCCCCCAAAAATAATTACTCAAGTAAAGATACACAAAAAAAAAGTACTTAAGTACAGCAGTGATTCCCAACCAGGGGTGCGCGAGCATATTACAGGGAGTTCATGGAAAMATTTCCCAGGAGTGTAAAAAAATAATAAAAATAGGACTGAGATATGTAGGGCCCTATGATTTCATCAATGCAGAAAATGCAGACGGAGTCATGAAATTAAGACAAAACTGAATCCTGTATAAATGTGGAATCTCACGGCTTTTGCTCGTTTGGTTGAGTTTCTGATGTACTTAGGATGCTGCTGCTTCCTGCACCTGCCATTACCTGGTTTATTTTCTTTAATTATTCACTTTCAAGGCAATGTTTTCATCTTTATGTTTAATTTGAGTTGAAAAAAATAAAATGTCTGAGAATTAAACGTTCTAAAGCGTTAAATAAATAATTTTAATGTAATAATCAGTTGTACGTTATAGTTTTGGAGAATCATTACGTTTGACTGAAGGGGTACTGGTGGTCTGATAACATGGCTCAGGGGTACACAAGTGTAAAAAGGTTGGGAAACCTCATCATGAATACAAACATTTAAAGTGAATCTCGTGGATTTCTTCAAAAACTCAGCTTTAAAGTTCTTTGTCTCAGAGGCTGAGGAAATGTTGAGCTTGCACCCTCCTCTCCTCCTCCTCCTCCCCACTGAACTACCCACAGACCACACCCCCTTCACACCACACACTGCTCATCATCTGCTTGCTCCAACAACCACCCACCCATCATTGTACCGTGGGAGAGTATAGAATTTCAAAATAAAATTTACAGATTACGTGAAGAGTTAAAGAAAGAAAACATGATAAAAGGAAAGTTCAAATTTCTTTTGGGTGTGTGTGTGTGTTGGGGTGTGTGTGTGTGTGTGTGTGTATGTGTGTGTGTGGGGGGGGGGGTGCTCGTCTCTCACCAGCTGACAGTTTAATATTTTCTCCAAAAACCACACAGAAATATGCACCTTTTAGTTGAACAGTATTCCACTGGTAATTCTCTCCTCCTTTCGTTTGTATTGATGACCTGTTCTCCACATCTTCTTTTAGTTCCTCTGTTCATTATAACTGAGAATAACACTCAGGTGGGGAGGAGGACAGCTGTGTTCTCTGTGTGATCTCTGTCTTCTCAGTCCATCTCAGACCCCCAGTGGCAACYCTTTGGAGTCCTCTGGACCTGTCTTACAGTTTTTATTGACTGGTTTGACCTGTTWGAAGGAACTGGGAACCTCTCAGTCTTCATCATCACCCTCTCAGCAGAGCAGAACCTCTTGCAATGTGTTAACCCATTCTCATTGGAYTGAAAGTTAATGCTGATGTCATTCAAGGAGTCCAAACTCTGTTTTAGCTGTGGTTACAGAACAGAAACCATCTGCTC